TTTTTTTGTCCCTCTATATATATATATATATATATATATGTATATATATATATATATATATATATAAATTACATATAAATGTAAATACATTAATAAATTAATCCATTAATAAAGTTGTCTATAATATAGCTTCATAAAGCCTATTGTTTTATATTAAACCTTTTCTATGTTAAGCAGCACTAACCCTGACATGTGACAAATTATTATATTTCTTAAACTATTCTCGTCGGGAAACTCCAGGGGGTTACAGCATTGCATTCTGTTCTTCGGTTCTCTGCGCTGTCGTCATAAATCACTGGAAGTTGCCAATCTGTGTAATATCTATCGGCTTTATGGCTGGGTAATATTTAAACAGCTAACTGGCACTGGATAATTGTCACACAATCCTTCCTCATTTGCTCACAAAATTATGAAGCGGTCCTATAATGAAGGCCCGACGTTCAGCATTGACTCGTGGATGCTCAGGTGTGTTAGAATGGGCTCCTGTACTGAAGCCATCAGGACTACCCAGCAGCACTAAGCCTGCCATCTGCTGAGACAGAACCACACTCCCCACACCAATCCAAACCTCACCAAGCCAGGAAACCGGCCCAAACTCTGGCCCCTCTCCCCATTCCCCTGCTATCAGGCCCTGCCCCTCTCACTGCAGCTTTTTAATTGGGGTTCTGTCAATGCAGATGGGCCACCTGTCACACACACGCACGTGTAATTCACAAACTCATTTCCAATATATTCACATTCATTAACTGCATTACTCATCGCATTTGCGGAGGCTCTGAAGTGTGGCGAGCGTGCGTGATATAGAGAAGTCGCAAGTACAGATTGGACCACCAGCAGACCACCAGGATCTGTGCTGTCATCGACCAGCACCACACACACCATTCCTGGGCAACAGGCGGGTTTGTGGGCCTTCTCAGTGGAATCCTGCAAGTGCCTGTTCACTTCACTATGGTAACAAGTGTTAACCTCAGAGACAGTGATCCTTTCATGTGCAAAAAATTGTTCTCCCTAAAATGAATTTTTTTTTTTTTTTTTTACCCCCCGTTATGTTTTTAAAAATAACAGCATTTTGGGTTTTTTTCCCTAAAATGAATTTTTTTTTTTTTTTTTACCCACCGTTATGTTGTTAAAAATAACAGCATATTGGGATTGGAGTGACATAATTTGAATGTTTAAATAATAATGATCACATTAGAATGTGTGTGTGTGTGTGTGTGTGTGTGTGCGTGTGTGTGTGTGTGTGTGTGCATTCTGAAAAGGTTCGTTCTTTTTTCCCTTAGGGAAAAAAAGTGAAATAAAATACATTTTGAGAATATTTTTGTCCTCAAGACTTAAGGCATTTTGCCTTAAGAATAAACTCAAGAAAAAATGTCAAATAAAATGTTGAAGTTAATGCCACCATATTCCTAGAATAAACATTACATTTTGAAATTAACGTTGTATTACTAGATTAAAATTCAATTTTGAGTTTACACTTGTGTTTTGATATTACAAATTATATTAGTGTAGTGTTTTTATTATTATTATTATTATTATTATTATTACTTGGCCCCTCTTCTGTAAAATAATAATGCATAAATCTCTCAGTTTCATTTTAAGGTACAGTAGATGCAGTAGCACACTTTTTATACTGTTTATTACCTTAATTTTATCTCTGGAGGTTTGCGGTCCAGTTTTGCCCAAAATTGCTGGGTAAATTTCAGTTACTTTCATTGAAAATAAATGACTTCCAGTCTTTTTCTTTTCTTTTCTTTTTTGGCAAACAACTGTCAGGGTAAAGGCTCCTTGATGGGTGGAAAATGGTCATGTGAAGCTAAATTAAGATAGGTTTTTGGTGCAAGAAACCTTGACAATTGTTGTAAGTTGGGAAAAATAATGATCTCTATAAAAGAATGTAAAAGGCAACTTGAAATTAAATCAAATATGTAATAAAAAATAAGCTGCCATATAATGCTTAAAATTGGATCCAGCCCATTAAGTAGCTGAATAGATCAGAGATGTGTTCAGCTGTGTAAATAGCACAGAATGTCACATGGACAGACAGATGCTCAGTTCCTCAGTGTGGAGAGATGGAGGCTCGGGGAGTCTGTGTCTGCAGAGGCTCATCTCCTCTCGCCTCTAGGTCACACAGCACTAAGCCGACACACTAAAGTTAATAGGCCTATTTTTATTTTTGTATCAACAGCAGAGAGAGAGTATTTTCACACACTGTCTGCTTCTTCCTGACCAGAAACACGGACCAAATCCACCTCTGCAGATTTATAAACCAAAGAGAAGTTTTTGGTGCAAGAAACCTTGACAATTGTTGTAAGTTGGGAAAAATAATGATCTCTATAAAAGAATGTAAAAGGCAACTTGAAATGAAATCAAATATGTAATAAAAATAAGCTGCCATATAATGCTTAAAATTGGATCCAGCCCATTAAGTAGCCGAATAGATCAGAGATGTGTTCAGCTGTGTAAATAGCACAGAATGTCACATGGACAGACAGATGCTCAGTTCCTCAGTGTGGAGAGATGGAGGCTCGGGGAGTCTGTGTCTGCAGAGGCTCATCTCCTCTCGCCTCTAGGTCACACAGCACTAAGCCGACACACTAAAGTTAATGGGCCTATTTTTATTTTTGTATCAACAGCAGAGAGAGAGTAT